TGGAATTAGTGATGTTCAGAACTAGTGGAATAAGGGATGGTCACGGATGGTGGAATTAATGACGGTCAGAACTAGTGGAATAATGTATGACCATGGCTGTTGGATTTAGTGATGGTCAGAATTAGTGGAACAAGTGATGATCAGGGCTGGTGAAATTAGTGATGCTCAGACCTAGTTGAATAAGGGACATTCAAGGCTGGTGGATTTCGTGATGGTCAGATTTACTGGAATAAGGGATGATCTGGGATGGTGAAATTAGTGATGGTCAGAACTTGTGTAGTAATGGATGTTCAGGGCTGGTCGAATTAGTGATGGTTAGAACAAATGGAATTAGTTATGGTCAGGGCTGGTGAAATTAGTGATGGTCAGAACTAGTGGAATTAGTGAATCCGGGGATGCTGGAATTAGTGATGATCAGAACTAGTGGAATAGGGGATGATCTGGGTTGGGAAAATTAGTGATGATGAGAACTAGTTGAATTAGTGAATCCAGGGCTGGTGGAATTAGTGATGGTCAGAAATAGTGGAATTAGTGATGGTCAGAACTGGTGGAATATGCGATGGTCTGGGATGGTGCATTTAGTGATGGTCAGAAATAGTGGAACAAGGGATGATCAGGGCTGGTGGAATTATTGATGGTCAGAACTAGTGGAATAAGTTATGGTCTGGGATGGTGAAATATGTGATGGTCAGAACTAGTGGAATAAGTGTGGTCAGGGCTGGTGGATTTAGTGATGGTCTGATCTAGTGGAATAAGGGATGATCAGGGCTGTTGGAATTACTGATGGTCAGAACTAGTGGAATAAGCGATGGTATGGTATGGTATGGTGTATTTAGTGATGGTCAGAAATATTGGAATAAGTGTTGGTCTGGGATGGTGGATTTAGTGATGGTCAGAAGTAGTGGAACAAGGGATGGTCAGGGCTGGTGGAATTAGTGATGGACAGATTTAGTAGAATAAGGGATGGTCTGGGATGGTGGAATTAGTGATGGTCAGAACTAGTGGAATTAGTGATGGTTAAGTCTGATGGAATTCGTGATGGTCAGGACTGTTTGAATAAATGATGGTCAGGACTGTTTGAATTAGTGATAATCAGGGCTGGGGGTATTACTGATGATCAGTGCTGTTGCAATTATTGATTGTCAGTGATTGTGGAATTAGTGATGATCAGTCAGGTCATATTAATGATGATCAGGTTTGTTGGAATTACTGATGGTTAACTCTGGTGGAATTAGCGAAATTCAGGTTGGGTGAATCTGGCAAATGTCATTTCTAATGGAAATAACATATGATATAATGATATAAATCTCGTTGAATTAGGTAAGTTCAAGACATTTGGAACTAGCGAATGTTAAGAATGCTTTAATTTGTGATGATCGTGCGTTCTGGAACTATCGATTTTTTGGATTACTGAGACTAGTAATGACCATGTCTAGCCAAATTCAGAACTGATGGATCTAGTGAATGTTATGTCTAATGGAACTAACGAATATCGCAGCTTGCTGAATTAGCAAAGTTTAAGTCTGGTGGAATTAGCGAAGTTCAGCTCTGATGGCATTAGTGATGTTCACGTCTCGTGGAACAAGCGAAATTTTGATCCGGTGGCACTAGTAATACTCATGGCTGGTAGAATTAACTAAATTCAGGATTGGTGGAGAAAGTGAATGCCATGTGTAGTGGAAATAATGAATGTCAAAGCTGATTGAACTAACAATGTGGAACTAGCGAATGTCAAAACTGGTTTAATTGGTGATGATCACGGCTCATGGAACTCGCGAAATTTTGGCCCGGTGGCATTAGTGATGCCATGGCTTGTAGAATTAGCGAAATTTAGGATTGATGGTATTAGCGAAGGTGAAGGCTGGTGGAATTAGTCATGTTTCCGGCTCGTGTAACTAGTAAAGATCTGGCCCGGTGGCGCTGCTGATACTAATGGCTGGTAGAATTATCGAAATTCAGGAATGGTAGATTTTGCGAAATCGATTATTTGAGTTTTATTTAAATAATTTAAAAAGTAATGTTGTAGCAATGCATTTAGTTTAAACTTAACAAATATTGCTTTTTTTTTCTTATTTACCATATTAATATTTGCTGCAATCCGAAAAAGTACATTTTATTTAACTGTAGCAATAATTTTGATTGTCACCGTATTACACTCGAGCTGTTTATTTTAAGTGTTTACTTTTCAATCCTGTCAAACACTGCGATGTGACACACCTGCATCTCTGTCTAATCCTCTTGTTGATTTAGTTTATAAATTTTTCTGTTTATATATGAGAGAAAGTAAATCTTTACTTTATTTATTTTAGGCGGTTTCAATTTCGAGATAAAAGCAAGAAATTCGTAAGAATTACAGCCCTCAATCTAAAGGCTGTTAAATGGCGTCGAAGTCGATATATATGGCTGTTCAAATAGAAGAATATTCATTGCAATAGAAATTCCATGGAACAGTTTTTGTAATTCTGAAATGAAGTATGGACATCTTTCTAAATTCTGCAAT